CCCCAAAACCCCAAAACCCCAAAACCCCTCAAGAGAAAATAGTGAAGAGTATTAGAGTTAAGAGAAAATATAATAGAAATAAATGGATTAAAGTTATCTCGCTGAATCTTAGGGAAATAATTTGGAGGAAGAGTACAAGTTAGATTAAATTGAAGACATATCTGATTAAAACCTTACTTAAGAAGATGCTTAGCAAAGTCTTAATGACACAACTCTGAATGATAAGAGCATTATATTCGATCAAATGGGCGAAGATTTGCACATGAACTTAAATGTAAATAAAAATGCAAAATTTTCTCACTCTTCTCTGGATTAAAGCCTCACTTATGATTAAAGCAAAGCTATAGACACAACACATTAGGAATTCTAAATGAAATAAAATGAAAAGCGCTTTAATGAGAGAGATGATAAAGGCTCAAGATCTCCAATACAAAAGAAGTAGGGCTCAAATATTTTCAACAATCGGAGGTCAGTAACTAAGTCCAAAGAACCATAGAACCAAATTAATAGCATACAAGATCTACTTACTAAAAACTAAGACCTTGCTAAGAAGGAAAGAGAGTTTGAAAAAAAATGTTAAAAGCTAATGAAAATTTAGGACTGGAGCTCTGTTGACTAGCTTGCCACTGAGCATTTGGAAGAAACTAGTGGAGTTTCATTCAAAGGTTTCTTTTATCTTGGGATAGCTTTTTACAAAATGCAAGACTATCAAAACTCGATAAGGGCTTTTCAAAAGGCAGAACTAATCAATTCAGAAGATGCTTAATTGTAGTACAGTATGGGTCTAGCTAATTTTAAAATTGAATAGTATAACTTAGCTGTAGATCATATGAAGAAATGCACCAGTATTGATCCACAGCATCCATTTGCATACAATAACTTGGCTTTTCTCTATAATATGCACTAGTATTATCATCAAACTATAACTGTATGTGGTTATGCAAAGCAAAATAACCCAGGAAATCATAATTGTTATAGACATTGGGCTTTTGCATTGTTTAAAATGGGTAAAATGGCCAAGGCAGTCAAGAAAATCAAAAAAGGCATTACAAAGTCTCCAAGAGATCCAGAGAACTGGATTATCTGGGGTCTAATTCTAAGAACAGTAGGAAATTATCCTAGTTCAAAGCATAAATTTAAGAGAGCTTTAAAGTATGACAAAGATAATATAGTAGCAAAGGAAGAACTAGCAACAATAGAAAAAATAATAGAACTTGATAAAAAGATTCCATTAGATTCAATCCCAACTAAAGCCAAGTCTGGAATGAGAAAGCAAAATTAAGACTATGAGGATTTTGATGGGAAGAGTGGATTTCCAGCTAATCTAACAAGAGCTTGTAGTTAGCAAAGATCTTGTGACGAGCAAAGCATATGTACTATATTTTGATTTTGATTCTAATTATTTATCAATTTATCACTTATTATAGACTTATTTTGGCTTTATGGGGTTTTGGGGTTTTGGGGTTTTGGGG